GACTGAATAACAAAACAGTTTAGTACGTAAACACAATTTTATGGACTGCAGTACACGCATACATAAGTTGATACAAATATAACTGATCCTTAAATAGAAATGTAGTTCTTAAAAGTGCTATTATTGCTTTTAAGTAGTGCTTCTGGAACCAATAAACCGATTATTTGGTTTTAAAATAAAATCACTTAATTTAATCCAACAAATATCTCACGTAAGGAAAGTTACGTTAGGCCAAAGCTGGCCATAGATGGACCGCATGTTGCAGTCAAGACCGACTGCTGTAGAGCGGTCGCATAATGCAGTCGGCTACGACTGCTTGGCCGCACCGCAAAATAATTCTGATGCGAGTTCATTTACAAGATGGAATTCGATGAAGAAACACTGCTACTTGTACTATTATTACGCAAGCTTAGGCTTAGAAGACACCGTAGTATGTGGGTGCGTCCAATTCTACAATCAAGAGAACAGCATGGAATGTTTCATACTTTGTATCCCCAGCTGAGAGAAGACACTAAAATGTTTTTCAACTACTTTAGAATGTCCGTGGTTTCATTTGATGAATTAGTTAGTATTTTATTTTATTTGAGGGAGAGGCGCGCGGTCGGCAGCAACCGCTTGTAGCGGTCCGTGTATGGTGGGTCCGGCAGCTCTAAGCAGTCGACCGCACGGAAACACTCGACCGCAGAGCGACTGCTCCGACCACTCAGAAATTGGTCGTGCGGTGTGTGTATTGCGGATATGAATTTAGTATGGAAACTGCAGATCGCCGTGCGGAGACCGCTTAGAGCAGTTGGTATCGACTGCAACATGCGGTCCGTCTATGGCCACACTTAATTATATTTTTAAACGTTAAACCACACCATTATAATTCAATACATCCATAATCTTCTTTGCAGAACATTAAACAACGGAATGTTGCGTACCAGAACCACGTGTTGCGCCATGACCGATATCAACTCCTTCAATTAATTATAATGGGTAAAATCCAGGGTAAACGGCGTGTTGGTAGAAGGAAGAAATCATGGCTTTGCAACGTTAGGGAGTGGACGGGTATTGTGATTGCGATAGAGATGCTGCATCTGGTACAAGACAAGACACGCATCAAGACCCGGACGGCAAACTTCCAATAATGGAGAGGCACTAAAAGTAGAAGATAATCTTCTTAAACTAGAACTTACCAATAAAACAATGTGGTATTTTATAAATAACACTGAAATACTTCACGTACAGAAACCTATTAAAGGTTAATTTCCTATTCATCGAAATCAGGGCGTAATTAAAAAACATGAGTAATTTTCTACTTTTTATTATAAGTATAGATTAACACAGTTCTTAATACAACAGCTTTGACTAGCAACAGATAACAGGCAGTGATCGCATGTTGACTTTTTACATAAATATCATCTAAAATGCTTATAAAATATGAGTACTAACTTTATTTTAAATTTTTACTCTTCGCACTATCAGTAAATGTTTATTTCGATATAATAGTTTTTTTCCTTTATACCGGTAATCAATAGGAATCAGACTGTTTTCTATCTGTAATATTTTTTTCTCGGCCTACCAAATTATTATATTTTGTCAAAATCGAGACAAGAACCTATATATATCGCGGCATACATCTATATGTCATGTGCGCTAACGGCCGCTTTCTATACTCGATCTATAATCTAAAATTATTTTCAATTCAGATTTTCGCAAATTTACGTAGATTGATAACTCAAAATTCGATCTGTCGAATTCAAAGATCCATCGATCGGTTATTGAAAAGTATTTTATGAGAAATGGATTGCAATATCAATCTGTAGTAGTAAAAATGGGATTGGGATTGAGTATATAAAGCCGCCGTAAGTCAGTTTAGCTATTTATTTGCTATATATTTGTATTCTATATATTTCATAAGGATATTTATATTTACAAATAGAACATCAGTGAAGACGCGGTCTGACGCAAGCACTGTAAATAAATTTGAATATACTACTCGTATTAACCTATATCAACATTTGCTGATAGTACAATTAGATTGACTATGAAACATGAAAATAGGCCTTTCTCAAATATAGGCTTCATAAAATTTCTCATTCCTTACTGCCCGCTTGCGCACTGCCCGTAAATAAATATATTTCATAAACATTTAATTTATTAACGAATTTATGACTTAACACATTAACATCGATATACTTAACACTAATAAGTTTTTATATCTATTTAAGCGTTTGTGTTGTAATAACTAGATTAATGCGATTAACACAGTTAAACTGAATAATTAGGGTGTAATGTGTGACCAAAATTCATCGACTTTCTAGCGTTTGAGCAGTTTCTATAACTAAACGAAAACGGTGCTGTTCAGTAAAGAAACAAATTCTTACATAAGAAGTGTTTTGCTCCCTTAGTACTTCTCGACTGGAAGGTAAAACTATTTTTGAAGTTATACTTCTTTAGGCGCGTTATGAAAAATTGATGAGAGTGAAATTTTACGATGCGCGCGCACCGTGACACAAAATTAACAGAATGAAGTTGCTCACTAAATCGCACGCCGCCTCTGTTCACTGTGTATTTTTTATATTTATAATATTTATCCACATGCTTTGAGTTTCTACATTTAAAACACGTGTTTTTATTTTGTCTTCATTATACAAGTGCGAATTTTATATGTGCGTCTGAATTATAATCAGAAGTGATTTAAATTGAATATTTAAATCAATACTAATTAATATTAGAAAATAATAATAAATATAAATATAATAATAATAAATATTTATTTATTTAATTTTTCAAATGTAGACTGAACTTTATTGACTATAGTGACTCCTTTTCCAGTCTTTGATTATTTAATTGTAATTAATTATTTATATGCAATCAAAAACTATTTTTAATAATGCCAAAGAAGTATAACTTCTTACGCGCGTACATAACACACACGCACCCTTTTTATATCAATAAATATTTCTATAGAGAAGATTAATCTTGGTTTGTTTATACGAAGTGACGTTTTATGTGAATTTTGCTGCACAACAGCCCTGCGATTCTGTAACTCACTTTTCGAACTCACACAGCGGTTTTCGCATCGGCGGTCGCTCTCAAATCAGTCGTGAAGCAGTCATTTTATGATTTGGCATTCTGAAAAGGTGGGCTTGTAGTTTATTGATTATTACAGAATCGCAGGGCAGGTTTTTCTTCTTTTTTATAGAATAGGGGGACAAACGAGAATAAAAGGCAGTCATAGCAGCCCATATACATCCATTTTAGTACACGCAAAGAAGTATGCTCTTTTTTAAACAATTGGAGGTCGTATCTCCAAGGGAAGTTCCCCACCGGGAGTTGATTCCACAGTTCCCTAGCTCGCAAAAGAAAATGTCTAGTGAAACGGACCGTGGAAGACTTCCAGCCATCACGGTGACGCGGATGAACCTAACGGTTGTAGTTTTTAAATAAAATACCAGTGGCGCTACACCGTTTTAAGATCTCAAAGTTCTGTATCTGTTTCATGACCATTTGTTATTTCTAATTGGCAAGTATATGCCTTCTACGCCTGACACACGCCGTCGACATTATATATTACTGCTTTATGAAAAGTATAGATTTATTTAGAAAAGAGGAAAGCATTTTAGAGTGGTACCTGCGTTACATTATCAATGTTAAGTAAATAAACTGTAAGAAAGTCGTTGAACTAGGTTTAAACTATATGTTCTAATGGTAAACAGACTGAACGTAATTCTAAGTAAACTACGCTTCCTTCTACATTAAGCACTTTAAAGCATATTAATATGACTAGACTTATTAATAATTAGGAATGTTATTCAAAACATACGAACTACCTTTGAACTGAAAATAAGAATTTTCATCTACGCCTGACTTGAAAGTATAGAGAAAGTAAGAATGTATTGAAAGATGCCGCGATTCATTGGCGGAAATGAAAAAGTGGATCTTTGCTTCTAATTAATGATTGAAAATACTCAAATTATTTAATATTAAAATAAAACCGGAGAGTTTTGGAGGGGATGAGACTTCATCTTAATTGGTTATGTACGATATATAAGATCGATCCAAATATTGGACGGTAATGGTAACAAAAGCTTTATAAATTATTTAAGGCCAATCACAAAATTTTACAATTATTATTAATGTATTAAATGCCTTTATCCCAAAAAATCAATTAAATAACTCATTGAGACAGAAATAATGAAAGTTGAGCCGCAAAAGTACGGACAAAATATAAAAGAGACAGACACCAAATAAACGAAATATAGGATTCTTTAATAGCATTCCAATGACTCGATAATCCGGGATAAAAGGATACAAATGGTATTTTCATGAGTACATATATAATTATTTATAGATATAGGTTTCTTTTTTTATTTACAAAATATATGAATTATATGTGTATATGTGGATATATGGAATATGAGAAGCGCAGTATATTTAAATACAGCTAACGATATGGCGGGACCCTGTAAGATAAACAATTACACCTACGATAAAATAGTAGAGATAGGAAACATCTTTGGTCACAGTTTGGTCGGGGAGAAGAGTAGAAAGCGTAAAATTATTCTAAAGGCCTCCATAAGTCCATAGAAAGTAACGTTTTCGTTTCATAACCATAAACAACAATAAATGCAAACAAATGTTGTTGCCTTTGACTATTTTTCCAAAAACCAACCACATTTCCATGGTTTGAGCATAATTGCATTTGGATGTTACCTGATTTGGCCGAAAATGTGCATTTTCTATGACTCATGAATGAAGCCGCTTTTGTAGATCTGCTATCACCGGAACGTCTTCGAGTTAAAAATTCACAATTTAGCTTAGTTTGGCAGCGAAAAACTGAATACTCGAAACTATTACAACGTTACAATGACAACAGAGGTGGACAAAAGCAAACACCATTCCTTTTAAACCATCATTCAATAAATCAATCAATACCCGTAAGATATAGGAATATGGCATTTCGCAGACATTATTGTCCCTATTATGCGCTTTTTATAACACTAAGTATCCATCTATAAAACATCGTGTTTACGTATGGCCTGTTGAGGCCACGAGAGAAGTAGTGGTTCATCTGTACTTTCTAGATTGACATCCTCAGACAGCGCTGGTGAATATGACAAGGTTCCTAAAAGTGCGCCGCTTGAACGAGATTGTTGTCGACAAAGAGGGCGTCTAGAAGGTGATTCGCATTCATCTGACATTGCTCTCGTGACGGTAATTCTCGGAGATTGTCGTCGACGTCGTTCCCTATTCATACCCTCTTCTAAACCTAGTGCTCTACCTAACACAATATGGGGAGGTGCACGTATAATCGGAATGGCTGATGTCCTACATCTTGGGGTTTCATCGTCATGGGGATCTTGAAGCATATTGCATGATGCAGCTCTTGGTGCCGGTCTTTCGGAACCACGAGCACCCATGGCCGCTGCGTCTGACAATCTCCGAGTTGTAGGTGGTCGAATGCAACCTGAACCAGCAGATAGAGATGGCCTTCTAGAACCACATGCACTGGGTGTACGGGCTTGTATCTCTTGCGTTACTTCGCTTTTAGTCATTCTCTTTCTTCTATAATTTCTGAGCGAATCCTTTAGTGCCCGGCTTCTTATGCCATAGAGGATACTGTTCACGGGTGGTGCAGCCGCCAACAGTGCAACTGACAAGGCTGCTAAAGATCGAGGAGGAACAGCTATAGCCGGCCAAATTAACATACAATAATATGGAAAGTACAGTATTGCTAATGATCCTAGAGGCTGGACAACTGCTGATAATGCTCGTCTTCGCGGTGGGGGTGGGGGTGAGAAGGGGTTACGTTGGTGCGTTACAGTAACTTGTGCTGATAGAGTCACTTCATATATCGCAGCAGCTATACGATGTCGATGATATCGGGCAATGCGTAGTATCTTTAAACTGCACGCTAAGACAAGTGCCGTTGGTAAGAGAAGGGTTAACAAGGCGTAGATTAGACAGAACGCAAGCGCATAGGGACCAGCGCCACAGTCCGGAGCACATCCACCAAATCCAGCAATATACGCCAGCGGTGGCTGAGCTATTGCTAGCGGAGCTAGTAGAGCAGCTGTAGCCACCCAGGCAATTGCCACACATATTAGTACCTGAAAAAATAATTCAAAGTTATTTGGAAGCTACAATGAGTATACGGTAGATATGGTACCATTCATTTTATCTGCCTATGTGTTTAATATGTTAATAATATTTGCTTTGTTGAGCAAAATCTGGTGCAAAAAGATAAAGAGTATTGTTGCCAGGCAAATGCGAAACTTTTGCTTGTTACGGAAAAAATAAATTTTCCTTCAAGTTATCCTAGAAATAACAAGTACGAAATTAACTTATGTAATACTGATTTCCAAGTATGGATATTCGCGTCAGGGGACTTCCATAAAATATAAATATTTTCCTCCTAGGCTCCTCATACTTCATATATAAACTAATTAACACTTAATTACATTGAATTATCTTAGGCTTATAAACAAATGTCAAATATTGTTATTTAATAAATTGTAGTTATGAAATCGGTAATTTTAAAAAAAAACGTAAATCATTCAACTTTGTGTCTTGTCAAGGGCCTCGAAACAATAGGTGATCGAAGTTGGACTCAAGAAGCACGAAATAGATTGCGATGGCGAAATATACTTCAGGAGGCTAAGGCCCACAAGGGGCTGTAAGCCATTGATGATGATGATGATTAAAGTTTATTAAGATAATAATTATTATACACGTTGAAGTAAGAAGTATATTTGTTTTTTTTAATAAAGTATAAAAATGGGGTTAGTCATACCTTTTTAGCAGAAACAATGGCAGCATAATGCAGTGGTGCAGCAATTGCAGCAGCTCGGTCAGCGTGCAACCCACACACGGTCCAAAGTTGCAATGGATGCAGTGCGTGCAATAATACTGCGCAGGCGCACGTACCCCCGCCGAATAGTGCAGCACCGCTGGCTAACGCTCCTACTACACCCAGGTGTACCAGGAGCAGTGACGATGCGGAAACCGGCTGAAATAGTTATAATGAGTAAAGAAAAGAGTACCTAAAAAGTTATCTGAACAGCGCCATCTGTCATTTATTCCTTATCAACAAATATATAGGTAAAGTTTACACATTTGAATTAAAATGTGATGAATATAAAAAGTTAACTAATATAAAATAAAAGAACATAATCCTAGTCAATGATCCTTTGTTGTAAGGACCACTTTACGAGTAATAGCCCCCTACAGACCACTCCACTTTTCTCTATCGTTCGCCAAGTGTGTACAAAATTCTCGCCCTGCCTTTTTAATTCCATCAGATCACCTCTCCAGTGGCTCACTCTCTTTGTGTTTGCGTCAAACCGTTACTTCGAAGAAAGTGTCATCGTTGGGTCTAATTGTATAGAAAATATGTAATACACATTTGTATAGAAAAGTCTTACTAATAATATTACAGAGATATAAATATTACTTAAGAAACTTGGGCAACATTGTCAACCAGCTTAGTGCATATGGAACACTCTTCGCAAACTTACGTGTCTCGGCAATTAATTGTGAGTTGTTCAACCGTCCAGAGGACTTGGCAACGGTATCAAGAGACCAGTTCGGTCAAAAGAAGACCCAGTTCGGGAAAAAAACCGTGCACAGAACCAAAATATGACCGCTTTGTGGTAGTCAGGCGTTGTGGAATCGTCTGAAATTTTCTTATTTGCCCGTTTTATTTGCAAAAGAGTTTTTTAGTTATATTGTTTATTTCAGTCTCATAGAAATAAAACAATAAAAGGATTAGACGGAAAGCCGATCTTCTATAATTAGCCTTTAAAAATAAAATCTAAGAGAGCCTCAAAGAAGCTAAGATTACTATAATTAAGTCGGAAGTATTTTAAGCTAAAATATTTCGAACCATTTACGCCATTCTCATCAAGTTACTTTATTTTGGGTTTCAAATACTTTTTCTGTACTATTTTAAACATATACTCGTACAATCTTAAACGTGGATTAAATTGAGTAAATCATGAAATTTCCATACAAAAAGGATTTTAGTAGTAACAAATGCGGCGCAAATTTTAGAATATGTTAATAGTTAATGGGTCACGTATAAGTCCCAAAATATTTGGCGTATTAAGCAGAGTTGGCCTAGTGACTTCAGCTCGCGACTGTCATTTCTGAAGTCGTAGGTTCAATCCCCGGCTGTGTACCAATGTACTTTCTTTCTATGTGCGCATTTTACATTCGCTCGAACGGGAAGGAAAACATCGTGAGGATACCGGCTCGCCCTAGACCCATAAAGTCGCTGGAGTCTGTCAGGCACAGAAGGCTGATAACCTTCTTGTCTTTTAGATTGACAAATGACTATGAAACAGATACAGAAATCTGAGGCCCAGACCTAAAAGGGTTGCGCCACTTATTTTAAAATATGAGTTTTGCGTTATTTTTAAAGATATTATGCACGAAAATGAAAGAATTTAATTTCTTTACAAATTTTGTTATTTCAAGTGCATAGGGTTCAAAATATCTTAAACTGTTTAATTAGTTTGTTGTCGGGTCTAAAAAATATATGTCGAATTTTCAAGAATGTACACACTAAAAATATTTTAGTATTTTATTCACAAATTCTCGTTGTTTAAAGTAAACACAGTCGAAATATGCGTTTTAATTTGCATAAACATAACCGAAATGGAAGCAAGAAGGTACAACGGCATTCATGAAATATTTACTGCGGCCTCTGGAGGTTTACCTTCATACTTGGGCTTTATGTTTGGGAATTATATATCGCGTTTAAGTAGTCAATAATGACATTTCCTGCTTGTTAGGACACCGAGAAGTGGAAAAATATTATATGATATATTGTGCTAGGAAGGACGTTTTTGAATATAAAATTAGTTGGGTTGAATAAATAAATGATCGGTGTTGGAAAGCTCTTTTGTTGTTGATTAAATTACAATTATGTAAGTGTTGAGTTGTTTGCGTGAGTCTTAAAAAGCGTTTACGCTATAAAGCGTATAGGTTTAAAGAAGTTTATAAAACATACATGTCTCTACATGAGAAAAACATTATTTAAAAACATAAAAGTATCACGCCACCGTCGTACGCTGTTATTGCATCAGAATCCATCTATGAAAAAAAACTTCGCAGGCGCATTTGAAACGGGTCCACTGCTACTATTTCCCGTATCTCAGGACGCAGGCAGTTGGAAAGACTCATACCGAAATAGGTTATATTTTTGCGACCGTATAATTGGGGGGGTTTTTTTTTTTTTTTTTTTTACCCCTTTGTTTATTGCGTTTGTTACAGCAACTTTTTAGAAATATTCTACGACCCTATATATCAATAATTGAGAACAAAGATTTAAGCACGAATACTAATAAGGAGAAAATGAAGGCTTGTAGCGATATAACAGAGAAGTAAACATTTTAATAAGTACCTGCATCTCAAAAAAAATGACCACATTATTTAATCAAAACATCAGATTTAATCTAGCAAATATAAGGACAAGAGACAAAAAACAATTGATGAATCAGTGGAAGTGCACTAAATTGAATACAAAAAAGAGTTGTCATCTTATCGCCGTGAAACATCACAAACTGGAGGTGGAACAAAGCCACCATCACCTTCTCGAGACACAATGGTTTGAAGTAGATTTCAATGAATTTGATTGTGATGGTGTCGAGGTAGGAATGTTAATTATAAATATGATGTATGGTGATGTTCAAGGTTCAACCTTTCAAGCATAGGCATATGCTTACAACGATTACTTTATTCCCCTACAGGGTAGTTAGAGATATTGTAATACCCTCAAAACATCCATGTTGCACTTGTAGTACCGAAACTCTGTCCCTGCCACGAAGTGAGCCCATTCCCCACTTATAATGGACAGTGGGCTAAAATACACCTTCAATACCTGAGTGCACACCACTCACCATGATACTTAAATTAATAGATGTTATTTATATATTTCAGGTTATTACAAATAAAATCATTTTGGAAACAATTGATATCCCAAAAGCAAATAAAGCCAACAATGACAGGGTAATAAAATCATTTTTGACATAACTTGAATACTAAAAAGCCAAACAAAGGTTTCCACAAAAAGGCAAAAATATTTTTTAAACATTTCATTATTTTGTAGGATTAAAGAAAGGTTAAAAGAAAATCATGTCGAACTGAACAACAAGAATCCCCAAACAAACTCCAAAGAAACCTACAAGGAAGACACCGGTATTATATTTAAAATTATCCCTACCCCTAATCATTTTTATCTCTTTCCCCTAATAAAATAAAAAAAAATTCCCTATCTTTCTCTAATTGATAAAGGAAGGCAGGTCTGTAGCATGTGCTACAATTATATTAAATTATATTAATTAACACATTTATATAATTATATTAATATAAATGTGTTAAAAAATTTATAATATAAATTATAAAAAATTTTAAGTTTTGCATGGACAGAGCTTAAATTAATATTCTCTTATTTGTTGCAGAAAGCAAGTAGTTTTGGAGAAGCCTCGTAGATGCACAACCAAGTAATGATTAATTTAAAATTACAAACCGAAATTCTGATGAAGACATTAGAGTCACTTAAAATTAAATAGTATAATGAAATAAAAATGTTTTAAAGATAAATAGTGTTTTTATTTGTTTAATGTAAGAGAATAATAATAAATATTTATTTAATTAATTTTTCAAATGTAAACTGAACTTTATTGACTTTAATGACCTCTTTTCCAGTCTTTGATTATTTAATTGTAATTAATTATTTGCATGCAATCAAAAAACTATTTTTAATAATGCCAAAGAAGTATAACCTCCCCCGCCCCCACCCCCCCCTTTCCCCGCGGCGTACATAAGCTACACGCACCCTTTTTTTATTTTTTACTAAATTGCATGTTGTGTTCTTCTAGTATTATTCATTAATTTTGTGTCAATATATAGTTTGTTACTGAAGTATGAGTAGGATAAAAAAGAGAATTTTAATTGGACAGCATCTACCAACATTACAAAGAGCACCAGCAAGAGAAGATGGTTATGTAAAGCAAAGTATTTTAGTTGTCTCTCTTCTTCAATAGAACTTTTCAGATTTAAAGGGGAAAGGGTTGTATTGTTTTATTTTTAGCTTTGAAGACAATATAAGAAGTTTTGTACGTATTAATGATGTAAATAATGTATTCTAATATACATAAAACTATATTAAATTGTAGGCAATATTTATGCTTAGGCATTACAAATTATATTCAATTGAAGTAACCACCTCCGTGGCTCACTGATTAACGTATAAATCATACGTACTCAGGTTCCTCCTGCATAAAGGGGATTATAAATTGTTCAAAGAAACGTTTAGAAGTAAGCGGAAATTCTATAGGAGATGATGCAACGAACAAGTTCCGCTAATCGATGCAACCTTTCCTAAATAGTTTCCTTTAACCTACATTGTGTACTTTTATATGCAAACCCGTTGCAAGAGAATCAAAGACTCAGTTTGAAAAAATATTTTTGTGTGAAGGGATCTAAAATTCACGGAAAGACAGAGTTAAAGTTAAATTTTTTTTATAAATATGACATTTTTTTATAATTATAATATGTATGTGTACAATATTATTTGGTATTATATACACTAGTAACATTACCGATTTTTGTTTTTATATAGAATCCTTAAATACTCACTATTTTTTTAATATAATGAAATTTATGATACAGCCAGATGTAGGTTCCAGGGGGCACCCCCTCTTGATCCGCCCTTGTTTGCCGAGAAAATTCACAAAAAAGACGTATGTTTTATTTTACATTGTAATTAAATTCTGAGTTTTAAATTGTAGTTATATTTAAAAATAATAAATCAGTGGCGCTACAACCTTTTTAGGTCTTGGCCTCTGATTTCGGTATCTGTTTTATGATCATTTGTCAATCTAAGGCAAGTAGGTGATCAGCCTGCTGTGCCTGACACACGTCGTCGACTTTATGGGTCTAAGGCAAGCCGGTTTACTTACTATATTTTCCTTCACCGTTCAAGCGAATGTTAAAGGCGCACTGTGCAGTCGGGCATCGAACCTACGAAATTAAAGATGAGAGTCGCAAGCTGAAGCCTACTTACTACTAGGCCAACTCAGCTGTTGTTATATTTAAATAATGATATTCGTTTCAGCTAGCACTAACACATCATCGGACGTCAAGGCAAAATACAAAATACCATCCGTATCACTTCGACGTCCGTCGTTCCACAACTGAGCGTTTTCTAAGGCAGTTTTTGCCGCGCACCACCTCTATGTGGAACCAGCTGCCCACTGAAGTATTTCCGAACCAATTCGACTTAGGGTCCTTCAAGAAAAGAGCGTACCAATTCTTGAAAGGCCGGCAACGCACTTGCGAGCCTTCTGGTATTGTGAATCTTAATACTTAACATCAGGTGAGCCTGCTGCCCGTTTGCCTCCTATTACATTTTAAAAAAAAACACTACCTTCCGCCCAGGGCTTCGCCATCGCCATCGTATTTTTTTAAAGATTTTTTGCATGCGTTATATTGAATCTCACTAGCTATTGGTGAAACCTGTTTAAAAATCTGTCGATTTTGTTGAATTGTGGCGTTTATACAAGCATAAAGATGGATGGTCGGGGTTCAATCGCATCAAGTATGTCAATATTCATATGAAAGGAACGTTGAGGTACCAAATTGTAAATAAATACTGAAAACCGTCAAAAGACTTTGAAACGTTATATTACTCTATGGTGTATATATGTCAATTGTGATATTCAGTCGTCGATTCAATTTGGCATTACTGTTAAGCGAGATTGATTTCAAAGGCGTTACAAACATATAATGTGAATTTATTCGTGAATATGTAGCTGAAAAACAAAATTATGTATATTGAGTGGATTTTCGCCAAACAGTAACGACTTGGTTTTACGAAATTCTGAGTTGCAAGGTGACAATTTCTTTACAATAAATTATGTATTTGGGCTACTCTGTATGACCTACTTCCAATAATATATAACATGATTGACTAGAACTCTCTATAAATAATATATTTTATGAAAATCATCATTGACATGTTCCAGATTTTGTGAAATTTGTTTGGTGTAAATGCTATTTATAAATAATGTGTTGCATATTCACTTGCTGTGGGTGGATGATCGATCTCATTCAAAGGTATTTTATTAACTAAAATAGCAAATAAGTCCTGAATTACATTCCCAGTGAAATAATACTTGCTACAGGTTGATTGTTGTAGCAAGTAATCTTGGCGCAGTAGGCTAAAACATATCGATGTACACCGCGGCGCATAATGTGTCTACCCTATGCCCCAATTAAGGGTATCGGGTTAAAACGCAGCATTCGTTAATGTAATTTTACATTAGAAGGGTTTTACATGTAATATTCTACGTTAGCTAAATGTTAATAATCTTGTTTACAAATACAATAGTTCCTACTGATTCTATTGATCCTTGAAACTATCCTAAAAGGGTAACAGTTTTGAATGTCTCGCATTTATTTGATGCTACTAACTATGCAGGAGTCTCAGGGGACCTTAATTGGAACACCTCCAAGTATTTTTGTTCCAGGAAACCGCTCTAAGTATTTTTAATAAAAATTTAAAGTTTTGTGAAATGTATTGAAACCTGTAAACAATCCGCCATTTTCTACGTTTCTATAGGTATAAGAGATGTGACATTCACTTTAAAAAATCGTTTTTTAATTAATCGATTGTTAATAATCGTTTTTTAAGTAACGTTTATAAAATTAATAGGGATGTGAAAAATAATCGATTTCTAAACTGAAAATCGATTTTGTCTTCGATTTTAATATTAGAAATAATCGAAAATCAATAGGATCAGTTTGAATTGACATATTTTAAAAATAAATATTCACACTAACCTAACCTGACCGATCTAAATTTATTGTTGGACAGCTCCGATAAATATGTTTATTCAAGCCTCCCCAACCCGGCTTCTTTTTCCTCCCCGGCCGCCCCCCTTTTTTTTAACAGACCCTAACTGTCAAGTCAAATAATATTGTTTTTTGAAAGTGATCTAAATAATAATTGTTTATTCAAGCCCCCCCAATCGCTTTGGGCGCCTTCGGCGACCATATTCAGAACCTCCAACCAATAGACAATTATTATAAAGCCCCCAATGTTTTTTTTTTTTTCTTCTCATGCTGACCTACCCGTACGGGGAAATCTTCAGCTGCATTTATAAAACTATAATTATTCTACAATAGTGGTGTTCCGTTAATTCTTTTGGATATTACAGTAAACACATATTTATTCTAGTAAAAATTAAATAATTAGACCTTGCAACATGAATCAAGTATAATTAAAATACAGACAGTAGGTATCGATAATTCATATATTTCGGATATAATCTATTACAAGTTTAGTATTCTGTTGTTATTCTATAACTTATTTCAAAAATGAGGAAAATGTAAATAAATAAAACGATTAGTAACAACGATAAATTAAAAATTAAAATGAACGTCACATCTCTTTAACCAATATAATAAAATTCGCGGATTGTTCACAATTTTTACATTGCACAAAACTTTAAATTTTTTTTAAAATACTTAGACGCGTTTCCTGTAGCAAACCCACTTGGAGGTGCTCCAATGAAGGTCCCCCGACACTCCTAGATAATTTAGTGTTGTCATATGGTGGTATGTCAACACCCAACCCCTGAATTAATTTTTGCTCCTATTTTATATATAAATCACCAGAATCGTAGTTATTTCTCTTATCCAGCCTCAGAAGACATCCTCGAAATGTCTGAATTGAATTAAAAACAACCAAATGAATTTTCATTTATTGATCTCCATAGTTTTAACAGACCCTTAACTGTCAAGTATTTTAGGTTATGAAAATTGCACCGCTTGCGCCACGAAAAAAATAGACAAAGCCCTTCTCATGTGACTACCCGATATGTAGATTCAGTGTTATAAAATATAATTATTCTACAATAATGTCCGTTAATTCTCTTGTTCAGATTTAAGTAATAATTCCTTGCACCGTTCAAAAACAGCGCCCATAAGTTTATTTTTTTATTTATATTTTTATCCTGTAGATACTACATATTTAAAATAAAATAAATTATATAATAAATATATGAAGTGCTTGTTCTTAAGAACTACTGTTTCAGATTGTAAAGACTTTTTTGTATTGGACTATCCATTAATGGATAGCGCTTTAACCGAATTAACGCTGATCAATAACGCTAGCCGGTAAAAACAGCGGGCGCAGTCTATTGCAAAAAATAGAACCGATTCCAAAATGTACTAAAAAGTATTAAGTATCGGTCCTCGGACGGAGGAGCTATGTTATAATTTAAAAAATAGGCGAATTAATAAGCTCTTCCTTTGGTTTTTAAGAAGTTGGTTTAAAAATATAAATAAATCTCGTTACAACAATCAAATGTAATACCTTCGAGCAGCGTTGGCCTACTGGTTTGAACGTTTGAATCACGGCTGTGCACACTCACGTGTATAGTTGTATAATCGTGAGGAAACCGGCATGCTTTAGACAAAAAATCTACGGCACAGGCTGATCACCTACTTCCCTATTAAGAAATATAATTGTAGACACAACAAATAATTGATCACACAACAGATAGGGAAGTCTAAGGATCAGAATTAAAAGGTTGTAGAGCCTTTGTTACATTAAGCTTCAGCGTTAGAAACATTTCAGACTATGGACATTTACTATGTCATGCTGCATCAGCTCAGCGGTTTGCTGCACACTTGTGACAGCGTCTATGTCCGGAGTAGCCTTGGGCTATAACTATTCCTTAGCTGAATATATTGATTTGAAAGGTCAGATACATCAATTTCGTATAAGAACCCTACCGTTAGCAAATGGCTTTGTCCTTTATATATCAATACCATAATGCGAAAGTTTGATAGCACGGGTCACCGTACATTTGGTATAATTAACTACACGAAAGATATTTTAGTGTTTCTAAAAGAGCCTATAGTGTTTTCCGACCTTTTTTGTGCCACGCCCCAAGCCTACCCATAGCCTTTTTAAAATCCCCCCTATGTAACATAAATAATTTTTAATATTAATAAAATTGAATTGTTCACCTTAGAAACTAAAATTGCTAACGAAACGGCACAGTAAGTAAATTTTCAAAATATACTCGTATTTTGGAAAACTGAAATTCTAATTATAACAGTTTTAATAAATTTTCGAATAGCCCCCTTATCAATCTAATGGTCCCCTTGGGGCCGTGGGCTCCACGTTGGGAAACACTGCTATAGACCATTTCTCAAGTTGTTTCTGTTGTTATATTTTGCTTATTTGCAAACACGCACTTTAAATACGTTTGTAACTCCTAAGTATTCTTATATCAATACTATATTGTATATAAATTTAATACTAATCCAAATTGATAATTTTTATACTTTTATTGCATACTTACAATATGTAAAATGGCTGTGTAAATTAACTTTTATTTTTAGACGAGTAATATGACAAAGTAATTTCCCATTTATGGAATGATATAGAAAATTAAAAACTTTTATTATCACTATGTTTAGCTGTAAAATATTTTTGTTTGCGTAATATGTATACCTTCTATTTTTATGACATATTGTGGAGTGTCCTGAAAAATAAATCATTATAATAATTAAAATAATAAAAGTAGTTATTGACGATATCACACTTTTCAGAGACCAATGTATCTGTTTATTTGAAGAGGGGAGTCTTTGATGACGACATTGCTGACGATATGGACTGGAGAAGGAGTGGCCATATGCCAGTGAAGGGACATATCAATGATGAAAATCGTGAGACTGCATATTTACCTTAGATTAATTTGTGTTACTGTTAAGCGTCTCTCAAAACCTCAGCTGGACACGAATGTCCATATTTCTATATTTACAACACTTGCTATAAGAAAAGATCATAAGGAAGACGGCAAATGTGACACCAAAATCAACGACAACTCTAGCACAATCATAAAAACAATTATATATAGAATATACGTATAATAGTTTGTACATATTTATTCATCTACAATAGTATTTGCTCTTAGCTTTAAATAGCTTTTAAATCTCTCGTGTCACTTCGTTCGATTCTGTCAACGTCCAATGCTGAACATAGACCTCTAAATGACCGCGCATTCCTTATTTAATTAAGATTTATATAAAAATAAAATTACTTTAAGAGAGTAGAGATAATAATTCTGAGAAGACGCGAGTACGCCGACATTTTATTTCATTATAACATAAATTTCACGTAAATAAAAGGTGTTTAATAATAATTAGCATCAAAGAAAGACATTTGAATATTACTTTCGTTTTTGCTCCAAGCAAATATTTGTCAACAAGTTCATCAAAAATCTTATTAACGATTTTTCATTACATTTCTTCTCCGTTAATAAGTAATATATTAAATTCATTGTTTACATCTAATGTTTAAAATAATCAATACTCTACGTAATAAATGCATTTTCTTATGTAGTCGTTATAACCATAAGTGGTTAACTGACATGGCGAATAACCGGGTTCGATTTCCAACGAAAATTTTTTTTGAGAATTGTTGGCACGGATGTCTCAGGCTCAGGTTGATAATGCCTGTTTATTTCCGATCTTTTCAAATTTTGACACAGTTTAAATTTATTATATAAGATAAAATAAAAATCAGTGGCGCTACAACCTCTTTAGGCCTCAGATTTCTGAATCTGTATCATGTTCATTTGTACATCTAATAGGCAAGTAGGTGATCAGCCTGTGCCTGTCACACGCCGTCGTCTTTTTGGGTCTAAGACATGTTGGTTTCCTCACGATGTTTTCCTTCACCGTTCGAGCGAATGCTCACATAGAAAGAAAGTCCATTGGTGCACAGCCGGGGATCGAACCTACGACCTCAGGGATGAGAGTCGCATGCTGAAGCCACTAGGCCAACACTGCTGCAAAAATAAATGTGTATAAATTTCTTTTTTGTTACATTTTATCCTAATTTCCTTCAGTACCATTGATTGATTGTACCTTTACCCCTTCACGGGTAAAGGCCTCCTTCAGCTTTTTCCAAATGCCTCTATCCATGGCTTTCTCTCTCCATTCGCTTCCTTCTATATCTTCTATCCACCTTTTTCTTTTATTATTAATACAAAACCTTGCCCTTAATCAGTTATCACGGGGCCTGCTGACGATGAGCAATCATCCATGAGAGCTGGGCGAAGACTGGACGACTCAATTTTGAACTCTAACGATAAAAATAGTTTCGAAGGAGCTTTAATGAAGCTAACAGCAAAACCTCCCGCTGAAAGGGAAAGTTCGACGCACGCTGAAATTAAAATACATGAGGTAAGTATTATTAAAGTAGCGACATTCCCCGCAATATACAAGTCACTTTAGGGTAAATGCACTTATGTTTAAAGTTCTTAATGGAAGGTGTTGAAAGCAAAATATCTATTCACTAAATGAGTTAGTACCAACCAATAATTGCCTTTTATTTGACTTTAAAAAGGTTTAAAATTTGATGTCTATTTTTTGTATAACTGTGGGCCGTCCTCGAAAATACCGCAGAATCTTATCGAATACCATTCATGGTAACCTAGATCATTTAACGAACAATATTATATTATACTTTTGACATGCTGTGAAGTATTTTCAAACAAATTCGGTTTAGGGTCTTTCAAGGAATGAGGGTACCAATTCTTAAAAGGCCGGCAACGTACTCTCAAGCCATCTGGCATTGGGAATTTACATGTATCACTTAACATCAGATGAGCCCTGCACCCTGTTAACCTGTACCTGTTTGTACCTGACTTCTATTTAAAAAAAATTTATCAGACCAGATATATAAATATAAAAATAATTTCTGTTAACCTTGCAGGGTTATGTGCATATTAACATATATACATCAAATTTATACAAACATTTACAGTAAGGTATCAATGGCTAATGCGTTACCATTTTAGTGACGTAACATTGTGAACACACATTAAGTAAAACACTTTGTTTAAGGGACCGTAATATCTGGGATACCAAGTTTGATTGCCGATCGAGTTAGCTTTTGTGAAGTGAATTGTAGCCTTCCGCATGTCGTGTCACACTGAAGATGGTTAATTCCTTTACACGTGTTATTTACAACACAATCATCATGATTAATCGTACATCCCTTTATGGGTCTTAGCCTCCGCAAGTATCTTTCGCCATCGCAGTCTATTTCGTGCTTCTTGGGTCCAACTTCGAACACCTATTGTTTCTAGGTCCTTGACAACTCTACCAACGCAGCCTCAGTCTTCCGGGTTTTCTGTTACCACCAAGTAGTGAGCTCATTAAGGATCTTGGGGTTCTGTCATCCACCATTCGGTGGACATGTCCCAAACAGTCTGTTGCTTTTTATGAATGGGACTATGTTGGCGTCATCTACATAAACTTCATGATTGAAGCGAATATGCCAAACAGTCCCAAAAGTTCTTTGAATTATCACAAGAACATAACATTTACAACATAAAGCTCCTTATTTGTTTGCACAAAATCTGTTATCCCTTCATGGGTTCACATAATAGAGATAACGGATTTTCTTCTCCCTAACATATATCCATCGTCTAAAATGATGACTCTATACTGTTAATAGCACATTAATCGAATAATTAAAAGCAAGTTGTGTTTGGCTATCATGGGCTAGCTGTTAAGATGCCTCGTTTTGTATGTAATAAAGTTAAATTATAAGCAATAAAATTGTGTAGAAACGACCACGACGACCTGTGACGAGACGTTCTTTAACCCTTCGTTTATTAAAGTCTTGCAGATATACGCATAAAAGCAAGGTTAAGAAGTAATATCTCAATACATATAATTTTATAAATATATATAAAATTCTCGAGTCACAATGTTCATTCCCATACTCCTCCGAATAACTCGACCGATTCTTATGAAATCTTTTATGCAGATTGTAGGTCTGAGAATGGGCTACTATCTATCTTTCAAACCCCTAAGTGATAGGGTGCCCAGTGCCCACTCCAACAATTTTTTTTTTTTAAGACAATTTTCTTTTGTTTTTATTTTTTAAATGATACAGCAATACAAAATACATACAACGCCTAATTTTCACCCTTCTACGATCAACCCCTATTTTTTATTATTGTAAATAGTTATTTCTATTGAACTAAAAAAAATGTTTCCTAGAAATAATACACATGGCAAAACAACGTTTGCCGGGTCTGCTAGTTAATATATAAAAATTAAACTAAAATATTATTAATTTGTAGGCATTAGGTCAATTGCCATCGCAACACATGCAAATAGATGAATTGAAAGCTATACAAAGCGCGATTAATATGCAGAAAGCCGCTGAAGCAGAGAGACGAGCACCTCAACAACAAATTGTATGTATTTAATATTATATTATCGACGCTACATCTGGTAACTACTAAGTTTCGAAAGCGGTAAGTTTCGTCAAAGCAAATAATCAAACAATCCTTAGTTAGTGTAGGCACAAAAACATACAGACTTAACTACAATATATATTATTATTTATTGGGAGTAAATGTATATTTTATTGCAAGATAATTTTCTTCGTATTAGAAGTTTACGTTTAGTTAACAAACACATATTCTACAGTCTCAAGAAAGTGGAAGAAGAATGTTACCAAGAGTTTCAATGCTACCTCCATTTGTGACCACACCAAGCAACTCCTTAAGACTGGCTGTTCCGGACCAAGGCTTCCATAACCCAAATAACTGGAGAGCTGCGAAACATCAATCCTATATTCCCCCGGATCTTTTTGATTACGGCGAGCGACTAACGCTTCCAACGCCTATAACAGCGAAGCCTACTCCAATAAGACCCAGTAGACCTAAGCCGAGACCTCAAACACCATCAACGTTCAAGCCTATTCCCACAACAAAACGCACAGTTAGAGTTGAGGAAGCTATGACAAAAGATTTTGACCAAGTTTTGGACAAAATAGACAGAAATCTTCTTTTGGACAAATTTGATGATCCGAGGTAATTTGAATGTACTGTTAACAACTCAACTTTTGTGTTGCACAAAACTCAAAATTATCAATAACTATTTATGTGCTATCTTCAATTCGAGTTGTCAATACATTCAATAGACCATAGTTCAGTTTGATGGCTAGTTTCGAGTTTTGAAAATAAGAACAATAAAAAAGTAATATTAAAAAAATATTGTAGTTTCAGAGATGAAGAAATTGCACATAAAATGAAAAAAGGTCCGAATCAAAGCGAAGAAGACTACGAAGATGATATAAAAGGAATTCCAATTCGAAGGAAAAGAAATATTAGACAAAATAAAATCACCAAATCTAAAAGTAACGTTGAAGATACACTTTTGTATAAGTTATATTCGAGCTCATTAATAGATTTGAATGAGATAAACATCTCAAAATCAACAGTTCATGATAATACAAAAATTGTCAATACAATCCAGAAATTTAATATTAGTAGAAGTACTTTATTGAAATTGCTGTCGTCTTGTACTTCTTCGTAGCTTTCGTTGGTTTGTATTCTGATGTCATAATAAATTATAGAAATATTTTGGTGTTTATTTTTTAGTTTATTGCCCCGATTAAATGGGAAGGAGACTGTACGTTCGAGTGTAAGTTGGAGAATACACTTCACGTGGAATACTACAGGTCGTCCCAAAACTTGGTGGCTCTTAAGGCAAACATATTTCAGCTTCTGTTTCATTGATCATGTTTTTATAGTCAACTAGCTGACCCCGCGAACTTCGTTTCTCCCTAATGTAATTTTACTTAGCTTACCTTTTTAGTACATAGCAATATGGAACATTATGCTATGCTACCCCAGAGACTGTTCAGTTTTCCGGTATGAAAACTTTTTAGGTTTATCTGTGATTTTTCTCTATATAAACCTCAGAGTTAAAGTTATAAGTTCTTAACTAACAAAAAATAAGGGTAGATCGTAGAGGGTAGATGCAAATTAAGGGTTGCATGTATTTTTGTATGCTGTCATAAAAAAATAACAACAAAAATTTTGTCTAAAAAATAAAAATAAAAATTTTGGGGTGGACGCCCCTTATCACTTAAGGGTTTGAAAGATATATAGTAGCCGATTCTCAGACTTGCTGAATATGAATATGCAATTTCATAAGAATCGGTCAAGCCGTTTCGGAGGCCCGGAGCCTACTGGGAACGAACATTGTGACACGAGAATTTTATATATTATATTAGATTAGGTGATCAGCCTTCTCCTATTTCAATCCAATCGTTTAACATAAAAGTTGTCGTTTTATTGGGGTGACGAATTCGTACATTTATCAATTTTATGATAAACACTTTGGAAACCGAAATAGTACTAATATACATAGTTTTCTATAAAGTTAGTCTCACTTTAATCGGCAGCTCATGTTTGAGTATCGTGGTCAGCAAGGAAGCTCTGGAGCGCCCTATCTGTTTCCACCGGTTTTAGTCCAGCGTCTCTCTTATGACAGAGTACAGTTTTGAGTTTTGGTGAACGGCCACGTGATCTTTTGCCTTCTGTGTTACCAACCACGATAAGTTTCTCCAAGTTCTCATCGCCTCTGCGCATTGTATGGCCGAAATAAGATACAATACAAACAACATAATGTTAGTACTATGTGTAAAATAACTAACTGTATATGTAATAACTAACTTAGTACTTTTGCTTTAGATTTAAGAGATATAATTGCGACATTGTTGTAAATAAACACATCAAAAGGATAATATATCAAAGCCTTTGAGTGCTTCGTCGTACAGGAATTTCCAATTAGATGTTTCAATAAAAACCTTTAATTTATTAGTGTCGAATAAAAAATACATTGTATTTTATGGACCATTCTATTGAAACAGCTGTGATAATTAAATACGAGAGAATAAATCAGTATTTAGACTAACCGAGGATTGAGTCGTAAATTACAATTAAGCTATGCAAATGAAGTGTAATTACATTTTAATTATATCATTAAACAAGAGATTAAATTTAATGAAAACATTACTAAAATTCCTAAGTCTTAGGAATAATCGTCTAATAAACTCATCTGCGTCTGTAGGATTAAGAAAAACAAACAATGCCGTATCGATTCCCTTGATTACAATTGTATATAGACAAGTAGATTGTCTATGCCAGACACAGGCCGGAAATGTTGCTGCTTTCCTGATGACGTTTTTTGGAAACAAAGTTTTTGTATATTGGTAATGAAAAAGGTGTCTGTTCTTTCTGTATTCTTTTATTCTATAGAATGGCAATAGCAGTCTCTTCGTGGATCATGAGGCTCTTGTAACACCTCAATAGAGTAAGATATATATTATTGACATCGTTTAAGGCAAAGGTGAGCCATGCGTAAACCCGAAACAATTTCGGTTAGTTGGTCAATTAGGAATCAGTTCAATGGTAGATGTTAAATTATATTTTAAGGAAAGTAGCCGTTTTTCCAAGCCAATGAAAACGGATTGTATGGTGAGTTTAATTTTAAAGTAAAAAGTAGTTTATATCTGAGTCCCTTGATTCCGTAATAATAACTAAATAACATATAATATATTAATTCATATATTACATATCACTATATTTACAACCTTTTTAGAATAAGGATCACCTGACCATGAAACTGGTTGATGAAGAAAAATGATGTTATTTTTCAATTGTTTTATTTGGTTTTATTTTTTTTTTCTACTCGACCTTAGGGCTCCCCTCCCACACAAAACTGCGATGCGATGCGATGCGAATTCGCATCGCAGGAACTTGCGATGATGCGAATTTTTGCGATACGATTTAGTGCGTCAAACCGTTTGGTAGGGCGACCATTCCTTCGAAGTCAGCCGTACTGAACGTGTTTTTAAGAAGCGAAAGAAAAAGAAGATTCTGGGTTCATCCATTCATTACGATTATGAACTCTGATGGGAACTATTTTCTTCAAAAGTACTATGCGTTGAGAACTGAAGAAGATACATTTTTTGATTATTTTAGAATGAGCATGTTATCTTCATTTGAAGAGCTTTTGAGTATATTATCACCATGCCTTCAAAAACGATCGTACAAAGGAAGAATTCCTGTTATGCCTTTGGAAATGCTGGGACTGACTATCAGGTCAGGACCAAAGGACGGGACGCTCCTCAATTAAAGATATTAAAAAATCTATATCATATTCCGCCACTTTTCTCTAAAGCTGTCTCAGAGCGGACTAAAATGGTGTCACCAAGGATGACGTAAAATCGCAGGAATGTGTGATGCGAAGCAGATCGGAAATTCTTGCGTTGCGTTCGTGCGAATTCACAGATATTTGCGATGCGATGCGAATTCGCAGTTTTGTGTGGGAGCCTTTAGAACATTGTCGACACAACTCAAGGTTTCGAGACTCACATTTTACAAAATACTTCTGTATAGATAAATAATTGCCTCGTTTAATGTTAACAAGTTACATGCAGGCATTGTATGAAAATAAAGGGCACCAATATTTATTACTCTATATCATCCTACTAATATTATAAAAGCGAAAGTAAGTATAGATGGATGTTTGATTCTCTTTCACGTCAAAAATACTGAATGGATTTTATTGAAACTTTATAATAATATAGCTTATACATCAGAATAACACATGGACTACAATTTATAAAGATATTGTGTGAATTATCTAAAATATCAAGTAGGAAAAAAAATTTCATCTGCGAACTATATGGCGTGCGCTGCCAAAACCGCTAGACTTACACATATGTCATTACACATACATATGATGGAAATGTTTATCTTAAATAGTTCTACAAAAAAGCCGCCATAGTATATATATATGTCTTATGCGTAAGCCATTATAGCCAAAATAGTGAACAATAACTACAATAAAAATTGATAATTTCTTTCAAATGCACATTTGCTAGTAATAAATTGATACCTAAATGAAAATATGTAGATACTTTTATCGCTTCAGCCCTGCGATTCTGTAACTCAATTCACACTCGGTTTTCGCATCGCATATAAAATGACTGCTTCACGACTGATTTGAGAGCGACCGCCGATGCGAAAACCGCTGTGTGAGTTCGAAAAGTGAGTTACAGAATCGCAGGGCTGGTATTTAAAGAAGATAAAATAAGTCTTTCACGCTACATCTTTTGGACAAATATTATTTTAATCCTACGCAGACGAAGTCGCGGGCACCAGCTAGTTCTCTATAAATGTCGAGTAGACAGTTTTGATAAGTAGGTATTATAAACATGTACAAGTTATATCATCAATATAAGGATAGATAAAATATATATAAGAAGATTTGTTTTATCTTTGAGTTACGTAAATAAACATCCTACTTGAAATGTTAAAATGAAAACGTAAACAAATGTCGGATATCTTATGTTAATGCAACGCGGAACAATAGAATTGCCGTCGCAAATAAAAACGTGATTAACATATATGGTTTCACTCTTTTTATCAATTCTCAGAGTACAATAAGGTGACGGAGAGGTTATAAAAACGAACCGAAGCCCGCTACTTTTGTGTTTAAATATGTTATTTATAAATAACAATTATAAAGGTTGTTTCAAAGGGTTCGTTAAACAAGAGTAGAATATTACCGCTTCCGTGGCACGTCCATATCACATGCCCTCATTACTTACATACATATATTGTACTAGTGCGTGCCTTAAAAATAAAAAAATCAATGATAAAGGTACCGGTCCATGGTGTATGAGACGGTTATTGGCGTCCATAGAACGCTGACAATGCGATACATTTCTGCATTTTCATTTATAATTTTTGTCTAGTCGGTAATTATCACGCTGAAAATTTAATCGAGGACATGTTGAAACATTCTAGACAAACTAAACGAATGGTAATTACATATATAGTAAATATATATATATCTACATACATAAAACTCACATAAAAACCCTACATTACCTCTAATTTCCATCATATCCCTCGCTTGTTCACAAAGTATCTATTAAAAGGGATTTTATATTCCCTAACACATTCTTAGTTAACTGTGCTTAACGCGGATAATGAATGGAACAAAATGGTTTGTTTGAGAGGGTCTTTTGGGAATATGGTTATTGTAACCAGTATATATTTAAGCTGTAACTTTTACGTCTTAGTATAATTAAAGTTGGAGCAGACAAGCGGAGCAAAAAAGTACTAAACCTTAGGTACCTTAGGCACCAGCTAAGGTACAGCAAACGAAAAAGGGGAAGACAACTTAGAAGGTTAGACTAAATTAAAGAAACAGCAGGTGGTAGATGGCAGAGAGGAATGGCGGGATTTGGAGGAGGCCTTTGCCTCCTAAAAGAAGATTGAAATAGAAACGTGTTTAAATAAAAGTATTTGAATTAAAGGCTATTACTATTATTAAAGTCTATACAACTCTACCGATCATCTATTCTTCTATGAAGAAATGTTATAAAAAACGTATTCGGCCTGATAATAAAGCACAGACGAAAGTTGTTACCAAGCTACGGCTCGTAGCAATTCCTGCGGTATTTTGGCATCATTTAAAAGTAAGTGGATATTTATCCTTTTATTTCTTCAATA